AAGGGAGCGAAGTGACGGGGCTCTGTCTGTCTGTCTGTCTGTCTGTGTGGTCTATGGTTCAGTTGCCAATCGTCGCGTGTGTGCTGTCCGGGTGAGAGAGCGGCCATCAGACAGCAGTGACGCGGCGTCACCCGGGAGAAGGGACCTGCAGGTGAGCAGGGCGACAGGTCCACGATTCTGCTGACACTACTGAGTGGTCGTTCTCTATTGCCGTTTGCCAGCCTCTGTCTGTCCGCGTGGCCCCTGTTTCCGCTGGTCACTCGCCTGACAGCGCGCAGCTTGATTCGCTCTCGTGCTTTGACGCGGGGCAGCTTCAGCCTGTGTGTATAGGTACTTTCCTACGCGCACGACGGAGGGCACGATGGAGCCATATTGCATTCTGTGCGGCTCCCCATCCGATGTGTCGTGCGGCTCCCGGACAACTTCTACACGGTTATGAAGTAGGCTGGGGGGGGCCTTGCGAACGGGGTCAAGTGGGAGAGAACGAGGCCAGGCGAATCGCCGAGGGCGCGCTGAAAGGGCTCAATCTGCTGCACACACGCGGGGTACGTTCGTGTGGATGGATGGAGGCGTGTGGGTGGACGGGACACACACGTGTGGGCGCGTGTGTGTGTGTGTGCAGATCACCCATGGGGACGTTTCGCTGAGGAACATTATGAAGGATAGACTACGATAATATCCTCACCCCCGACAGCCCAAAGCTCACATAGCTCGCCGGCACCCCAAAGTTCCTCGTAAAGCTGACACACAGACTGACACATTCACACATCAGTTACGTCTGTGTTTCCCTGCAGGCGCCTGAGTGCTTCGAGTCGTTAGATTACAGTCCGGCCAGCGACCTATGGGCCATCGGAGTGGCCAGGTAGGCACACACAGCACCACACCAACCACACACACACACACACACACACGTTCATTCTGTCTGTTGCCCTTTGGTGCGCCCCTCTTTCAGTTGCTACTTGTTGACGAGTCGGTTCCCCTTCAGTGTCCGCAGCGACGGTTGCATCTCCAAAGGCGTGCTGAGGGCCATCATGCAGGTCGGCCACTGCAGCGAGGGATGGAGGGAATGAGCTGTAGGATATCCATCCACTCATCCACCATGGTGTGGCGCGTGTGTGTGTGTGAAGGGGCCGCGTTTTCGCGAGACTGGCGAGTTGTCGCCGGAGGCTGCGGACATCGTACGTCGTTTGCTGACGGCCGACAAAGCCCGGCGCATCCAATCGGGTGGGTCAGTGATCAATAAAGGAAGAAACAGTGGGTGCATTCCATGTGTATCTACATGCCTTTGGTCAGCGGCTGATGCTTTTGCGCATCCCTGGTTTGCCATGGCGGCAGAGGAGTCGGGCGCCCCCCCCCCCCCCCCCACAAC